AGTCAATTGTAAGACAGTGTACAAAGCCAACACATGAACTTGAAAATTGAATATGATGATGTCCATTATGATATAGTAGGAAAACAAACTGGAAGCGATATTTCTATACATAGAAACATGCCATACATACACAAATAAATATAAAAATATTTTTGAGAGGAACTCATTCTACCAATAAGATACATTCACTCCTGATTATTACAGTATTAGTCACAATAGCCAAAGTACGAGGCTGCCGTCACAAAAACACAACTCCCACTACAAAGGGAGTAAGAGAGCTTATTCCAGAGCCAACATGGGTGATCATGGCCCCAGGACCTAGGTTTAGTTTCCTCCAAATATCATTCCTCAGTGAGGTAGCAGTTTCATGAACTTTTCATAGAAATAGAACAAAGAAAGCCATAAATCAAGACCCTTTTCAAACACATCAGTGGATACATCAAGTAGGCGGGTTACAGAGCAAGGCAGACAGAGCACTGCCATAGGCCTCAGATTTGAACTTAGACTTCTGATTGGTGGAAAACTAGAGTTTTGCTAATACATTCCAAAGGTTCTCAGCCATGAGTCACAGGATGCTAGGCCTGACACAGAGGTGGGCAAGAAACGGCTGTTTAGGGGGCTAAAGACAGCCCAAGATAAGTTGGGATTAGGCTCTGGATTTGCAACATCCCAAACCCTCCACAACCACTGAGGCTGTAACCAGCTAACCAGCCTTGCAGACTCAACATCTCTCCAGGAGTTGTGACTGCAGTGCCAACCCCGATGCCCTTCGGCAGGAGAATGGCAAAACAGCAACAGCGACAGAACATGGTGTAGTTACACCGGAATATCACACTGTCATGAAGAAGAATGCAATCTCGCCATTCGCAGCGATTTGCAGTGATGTGGGGATAACGGAGGAAAGGCTGATGGAGATACTGACACAGGAAAAGAAGGACCCCGTGTTCTCTCGCTCGAGTGTGGAAACTGGTTAGTCTAATTGGTACACCATGGAATGGAATAGCGGACATTAGAGATGGAAGGGAGAGGACACAGGGAACAGGAAGAGATTAAGGGAAACTTTAGGGACAAGGAAAGGTGGTGAACAGAAGTGAGAAAGGACAGCGATCCCGGGCCGAAGAACGACGGAGAGACACGAACACTGCACGTGCATGCATTATAGAAAAAGCACCCACTCAAAACCTCATTAATTTTTACAAATCATGTGTCTTAGAGAAGATGTAAATAAGGGCTAGGGGTGTGACCCACTTGCTAGAGAGCTTTCCTAGCACCCGAAACCCTAGGTGCAAACATGAGCACTCAGGTGATGGCCTATGGTCACAGCACGTGGACAGAAGCATGAGGATCGACTAGTCGTCCCAGGACAGCGTGTGGCAGAGCAGATTCCCAGTCAGGTGACACGCCCTATGATTACAGCACGTGGGCAGAGGAAGCATGAGGATCAGTCGTCCCAGAACAGTGTGTGGTACAGTGGATTCCCAGGCTAGTCTGGGAAACATGAGACCCTGTCAAAAACAGACAACACATTTTTAAAAAATCAAATAACATACGAGCCAGAGAGATGGCTCTGCTGGTTAAGGCACTTCCAACCTTAACCTGGCGACCTGGGCTTAATCCCCTAGGACTTGCATGGTCGAGGAAAGAAACTGGCTTCTGAAATCTACACACATGCTGTGGTACAAGCACATACATGCACGCACACACACACACACACACATGCACACAGTAAGGTCAGGGAGAGAGTAAATAAATGTAAAAAAAATACTGTTCAACCAAAAATCATCAAAAATATTGGTATTCAAATTTTAACTTGGAACTAGCACACGGCTAGTGCTAATGCCGTGTTTTCCGTGATAGTCTAGAGAGCACTCTGAGGATGAACCAGGAGCGCTTGCGTCAAAGTAAATCTATGTGCATCAGGTGTTCCCATTTAACACAGAAAAAAAAAAACAAATATCAGGCATGGCTTAAAACTACAACAGATTAGTTATCTATAATGAGATCCAAGTACAGTAAATATTACTTAATGAACTGACAAGCCTATTGGTGAATCAATTCCTAAGTTGATTTGACAAGACAAAAGGGTTATTTATTCAGTAGGAACCAGTTGAATAGAAGAAAAATTAGTTTTCCTGTTTGCTCTATGAGCCCAACACTAATGCTATGGGAGCTTCACCATATGCCACAAGGGTTCCTCAAACTGCTTTGTGGTTTTATCTAAAAATGTTGCTTCTCGTTGTATTTTTACTTTGAGTCAAGTGTCAAGGTCTTCCCAGTATTAAAAAGCTCAGTGTAGGTGGAACCGTAAGTAGCACAAAGAGAAAAGTCTCCTCAGGATCAAGCCCCATATCCATCTCTGTCGCTGCGTTGGTGTCTGTTACAGGATTTCCTCCTATGGTCAATAAACATCACCACAAACGATGTTAGTCAACATATCCTGGCACCGGCTTTCCTTTAAGCCTGTGCTTTAAACATATTTGTATAGAGATCTTTTAATTGCAGACGGGAGTTTGTTCACCTATTTCCTCTTGAGTCCCGCGTCAGAAACTTTGTTCTGCTGTCAAGCGAGCTCTCTCACCTTCCCACCACCTTCAAGAGACGGAACAAGCTGGGGCAGGGGAGGAAACTTAAAACGCAAGCATGAGAACTCGAATGCCATCCAGAAACCACATTTCAAAAGCCAAGTGTGGAGGCTGGAGAGGTGGCCCAGTGGTTAAGAGCATTTGCTGCTTTTCCGGAGGACCTGGGTTCAGTTCCCAACTCACAATGGCCCGTAACTCCAGATGGTCCAATGCCCCCTGCTGGCCTCTGTGTGCACTGCATGCACTTACATACATAGAGGCAAAGCACCCAAGCACATAAAATAAATATAAATTTAAAATCTTTTTTAAAAAATTATTTTTAAAGCAAGTGTGAGCCTTCAAGATGGCTCAGAGAGTAAGGGCACTTGCTACCAAGCCTGATGATCTAGTTAGATTCCACATGGTGAAAGAGAACCAACTTCAGCACACATACAATGGCATGAGCATGAACATATAGGCATGTATGTGCACGTGTGCACACACAAATAGATTTCATGTCCTCTGGTCTCCACACACATACAAACATACCTGCACAAGTATGAGCGCGCACGTGCACACACACACACACACACACACACACACACACTAGACCATTTTTATGAGCTCAGTATCTAGAGAATACAAAAACAAAGGAACAAACAAGGATAACCATTCTGGGTGCACAGCAAACGATGAGAATGAAACAAAGAGCTCGTTAGGCCCTTGCAGTTAATGGCTTCGCTCTTGCATAGACTCCTGCAGAGAAACGCTGGTCTCAGGCACTTGTTTATGCACAAATGGGAAAAGTCAGCACTCGGCAACCAGACTGCTGCTAATTGCAAACCCATCTTTGTGAACTGGAAAACAATTGTAGATTTCTGAATATTTTTATTTCACATTTTGTCAGTTACTTTCGTCCTCAATACAGAACAGCACGGAGGCTTTTCCAGCCTGCCTGAAAACTGTTAAAAGAGGGGCAGGGGAGGGGAGGGCCATTGCGTTTCCATCACAGATTCTCGGCTAAGGATCGCTTTTTCAGCAGCGAGTCGGATGAAGATTGAGACGCTGACAACAGTGAACATCTCACGGCTACCGGAATCCTGGTACAGCACAACCAATTGTTTTCTCACATCAATCGGCTCACTGTTATTATTGGAGATCAAAATTACACCCTTACCACTTTCCAGCTGGGAGTAAAAGGAGCAGCATACAGCGGCTGACGCTCTTTCGGCACCACCTTGAGGCTTTTCGAAGCTAATCTAATCTGGGAACAAAACTGCACTGGCCACTGCCTGAACACAGTGGCCTCTCCACCCCAACACTGCCTGTCCAGGAATTAAATGTGCACCAGCTTTCTGTTTAGCACTAATTACTACACAAGCCCAAACCGCATACTCTCCGGTGACTTCTGACCGAAAGCAAGCAGCTTCGTGCTGCTGAAATGTGGTTTGCATTTTTAAACTAGCATTACACATTTTGCTTTCGTCCTGCTGGAGACTGAACCCAGGGCCCTGTGTATGTCAGGAAAGCATTCCACCCCTGAGCTATAGGCCTAGCCCTAAAATCTCGTGTTAGATCATTTAACATTTATGTAAAGATGGTGGAGGGATATACCTGTTGTCTCAGCTACCCAGAGGAGGATCAATTGAATTCAAAAGTTCAAGACCAGCTAGGTTGAGACAGTGAGAGATCTCTCTTCATGTCTGTCAAACCCAAGTCTGCTGCGGAATAATCCTTTTGTATCCTGTCACCTGGATTGATTTAATAAAACGCTGATTGGCCGGCAACCAGGCAGGAAGTATAAGTGGGGCTATCAAACTAAGGATGCTGGGATGGAGGGCAGAATGACAGGAGAAAAATATGGGTTAATTTAGATGTAAGAGTTAATTTATATTAAGTCTCCGAGTCAGTTATTTGGAAACGGCTGCCGGTTATTTGGGAGCAGGTGGTCGGGACAGGAAAACTCCGCCTACACTATTGTAGTGGCACATGCTTATAACCCCAGAACTATGTAGGAAGGTCATCAGAATTCATTGGTTGGAGACCAGACTGGAAGTGAGGTTACATTTCAAAAGGAATAAATTTAATATCAAACTTAGAGAAATGCTGGAATTCTCTTCCTTAGTCTTCTTATATTTGTCATGGAGACTTCCTGTGCTCTCCAGAAAGCAGCAAGGGCGGGCTGAGGCTCCAGACCCTTTATCACCTTACCTCGTGTAAGGATAACCCGGGCGAGAACCATCACATTCCCAAGGAGTCAGTCCCTCTGGGGGATTTTAAGGCATGTTTTCATATGGCAGAATGTAGCTCGGGTCATGTGTGTGATGGGATTTGAACCAGAGTCCAAAAGCACCAAGGACCTGCTCCACCACTGAGCTCTACTGCCCACGTTTTACTGTGAGAGGAATGTACAGTCAAAACACAAGTCTGCACTGAGCATATGTGGAAAGATATTTAATTGTAAAATAGAAAAGGAGGCCAGTACAGTCTTGAAGGTAATTGGTTCTTTATACAGATCATCTAGAGTAGTTGTGGGGTTAAACGTTATCATAAAGCAATAAAACAAAAACAAAAAAGAAAATAAAGAGCTTGAAGTTACATTTTACAAAACAGAATGAAAGAGCCTGCCAAATGTCCACACACTGTGGAGTGGGCCTTGTTGTGACGAGACTGAGCTGCAACGCAGGCCTGGAGCTTCACAGGGAATAGCGGACGTTACATTAGACGTATCTATAGCATCACCGAGTACAAAAGGTTCCTGTTCTACATACAAAAGCAATTTTCCATAAGAATAATTTCTTGGGCGGGGGGGGGGGGGAGTAAGTCCATGAAATATTTCAGAAACCCAAATGCACTGAGTTTGCCAAAAACATTATCTTAAAATCCAGCGCCTCAAAGTGCTCACGTGGAAATCATGATGGAAGGCACAGAATACAGTCTCACGTCCCCATAATGGAATTTTCAAAAAAAGCATAGATTTTGCAGATTCGCGTTCTCTTGCAAGCTGCTCCTTCCAAGAACACTGTCATGGTTGCCAGTTAACCCAGCTGCTTACTTCCTTTCCGTGGCTGACAGAGCGACAGCGGTGCCTTATGTATTTCCTGGTAACTTTCATCGTCTTTGTGGGAAACATATCTAAGCAAGGGATGCATCTTAAAATCATAGAACATGCAGAATATGTACAAACAAAATTTTAAAAATATTTGCTTCATATACATGTAAATCTACTTGCGTGTAGCTGAAATTGAACAAATATAAAATTTCTGCTTCCTAAAAAAATGTTTTCAGTGAACCTGAGACAACTTAAAAGCTGTACAAAAGTTCCTGGGAGAAATCTCTTTGCAGAGTTATTTCCAGCGTCAGTCCACCATAATTAATACACATTTGGTCTAACCGACAACAACCACCTTTGAACTCCTGTCTCTGAGATATGAAGTCTGTACCCAAATCAAGAATTGCCTGTAACAGTGCCTTACTATGGTTTTTGGATCTCCTCAACAATCTTTATCAACTCATTTGTAACTGTAAAAAAAGAAACAACCAAAAAACTATTTACAGAATTCAGTTTTAAATACATTTCACAAGTTCTAAAGTTTTATATTACAAGAATTCAGAGCTCATGGCTTAAGTCCCATTATCAATCTGCAGTATTTTCTATTATTCAGTACTCCCGTGGCTGTGTCTTTACTGTGTGCAGTTCAAGACTGCATTCTTTCTGGACAAAAGGTAAAATCAAACTCATGTTCATGTCAGGCGGCTAGACAGCCTCTTTGCTGGTCTGGAGGCGCGTCATGGCCTCCAGCTTCTGCCTGTAGGCCTCCGCCTCCTGCTCCTTCTTGAGCAGCTGCTGCCGGTACTTCTGCGCCTCCCGGTTCGCCTCGTCCAGCTGTTTCTGAAGTGCTTCTCTCTCCTAGTTTAGAAAAGAAAATCGTGTTTTCAATTTTTGCACAAATATATTAACATTATCATGTGTCCTTCAAAAAATACAAGGAAGACAGACAGACAAAACACTGCAGTGGCCACAGCAGCTGCCTAGTGGTAGGCACCTCCAGGACGTTCTCACCTTTCCACCAATCCACAGGGGACTCCCCAGTTTTGTTCTCTGTACTATGAGACAGAGATTATTCTCTAATTTCAAGAAAATTATTTCTAATTTATAAATAAGAATAACAGACATAAAATGTGCACCTGTTCTCTTATGTACTGAAGAAAGTAACAGAAGACTTCAGAGGAAACTATGTAAACACACCTCATCTCTCCTCAGAAAACAACCACAGAGCTGAGCCCCTACCACAGCTGAGCAAAGGCAACTCCATGACTCACTCCTCATGTATCAGGCTACAAGTGAGAAAATTAGTGCTCAGAAATGACGCAGCCTTCCCAAGAGCACTTCGAGAACTGGGTTTATGGTATTCAAATGTCACTAAATTCAAAACGACCCATGCTCCTCTACACCACCAAGCCAAACACCTGGACTCCACCACAACAGGTGCTGGGCCAGACTTGCGAAGTCATACAGTGGGCAATCCATAAAAGGCAACTCTAACAACCTTCTACTGTTAAACATGTATAAACTCTTTAAATCCCCAGTTACTGAGAGCCAGCACATACAAACCCAGTCCAAAGGAAACAGTATAATTATTTCTTCTCTTCACTGCACCTCTATTATCAAGGAGAAAGAGGCCAACACTATAAAGAACCCTTTCATATACCTGTAGTAAGCACATGGAGAAAACCTAATCCACAGTCCCAGGCTCAGGGAAGTTTCCTATCTCAGGAATGGAGTAATCTCATCGCAAAGACCTATGATCCCCTAGTGAGGCAGGAACCTGAACGTAACTGAATTACAGAAAAAAACGCCAGGTTTACACTGAGCATGCCCAGAGGGAGCGGAAGGTGAGGGAGGTCTTTGAGGAGTCTGAGGAGCTCCTCCTATATATCCACTGCCTCCTGACACAGACTGTCTCTGCTTTACTGCTCAATTGTCCCTACCAGGAACAACATGCACCCCTCCCTCTCTCCCTCACACCCACCATATGATCCCACCCACTGTCCTAAGCTGAGAATGAAATTAGATTTAGTATTTTTTCTGATTCTTATTGCTCCACCAGATATGGGAGTGACTGAGAAGTCCAAGAAAGGAATGTATTTATTTCCAGTTTCAGCGATACCAGGTCCTACCTAATACCTTACATCGCTGCTTCCCTTCTCTTAGGACCTTCCAAGATGCTAGGAAAGATGGCAGCCAGAAGAATCAAGCCTCAGGGAAGCAATCAACACTAGAACCGCTGTGACCTATGCAGGACTCTGAGCTTGCCAATGACCAGAGGTAGAGGAGAAAGGTAGAGCCTGGTTGTGTTTCCCTGGGAGCAAGACCTATGAGGAGCGGGCTTAGCTTGCTTTGACAGCACATATGCTAAAATTGGAATAATACAGAGATTATCATGGCCCTTGCACAAGGACAACACACAAACTCAAGAAGCATTCCATAATTTTCCTCCAGCTCCAGGGGGCTCTGATGCCTCTGACCTTGCCAGGCACCAGCTCTGTGGATGCACACATACACATAACTAAAAATAAATAAATAAATAAATAAATAAATAATGAAACTAAATCTTTTTAAATTTACATGTGTTAAGAAATAAGATCTTTTGTTAGTCAGTTTTGAATATACATAAAATTTTCCAATTGCATAGGAAATATTAGAACAAACTGCCTATATAAAGGGATCATCTCGTATTAGTTATTTATTAACAGCTGGCATTTGCAAGGGATTTACTATTACTGAAGAAGATGAAAGCAAATGGAGTGAGACAAACAGTGGAAAGTGAAATGGCTTAGTCCTATCTTCCTTATCTCACTGCACACACACACACACACACACACGCACGCACGCACACACACGCACGCACGCACACACACGCACGCACACACACACGCACACACACACGCGCACACACACACGTGCGCACACACACACGCGCGCGCACCACCCAGCTGGGGTCAAACACAGAACCTCACAGGTTCTGAGCAGTAAGTAAAATACATTTTAATACAAATAAAGTAATAGCTCCCTTTCATCAATTGGGCCAAATAAAAGACTCATTTCATCATCTTTTTATCTAAATCTGTAAAATGTAAAGACAAAGATACTTAGTACTTGTTGAATCTTTTAAATATGATTAATACATAGACTTTTAGTGTTGTACGCTTTACTTTTCAGAAATGCAGGAATATGGAACAAGAACTTGTTTACCATCTCAGTTTTCAAAGTAAATAAAAGTCTGAGAAATGGCAAATGTTATTTAACTGAGATCTTTCTCTGATGTCATAGCTACTTCAAGGAAGTTTCTTTACATAGCTGTGTTTCACACATCAATAGTGCAACAGGCTGACAGCTGACATTTTTATTTAAATACAAATGTTAATCCTATGGATTTAATATTTTATAGTAAAGCCACACTAGCCAATTTTGATATTTTTAGTATTTACTGTGAGTTTCTGTGGGCTCATGTGCTTCAGCACATATGTGTTCAGAGGACAACTTTCTGGGGTCAGGTTTTTTTTTGCTTCTAACCTTACCCAGACTTGGGATCAAACCCAAGATGTTAGGCTTCCACAGTGAGTACCTCCACCTACTGAGCCATTTTGTTGGCCCAATTTTGATATATTGTTATTGCACATAAATGGTATGGGTGTTTTGCGTGTGTGTGTGCCTGCGCACTCTAAGAGTACAGTACCTAAGGAGGCCAGAAGAGGGCATCAGATCTCCTGGAACTGGAGTTACAGACTACTGTGAGCTGCCATGTAGGTACTGGGAATTGAACTTGGGTCCTCTGAAAAAGGAGCAAGGGCTCTTAACTCCTAAGCCATCTCTCCAGCCTCCAATTTTGATATTTCATATAGCAATAATTTCATCCGTTAATATGTGGTGCTAAGGTACTGTTCTAGGGATAGGTTGTAGCTGCTTAGCATCCAGGAAACTCAGGGCTCAACTCCCAGCACTGGAGGAAAAGAAAGTCATCTAACATCACAGACCTCTAAGAAAATGAAACCCTAGTAATAATCAAGATTGGCAGCCACAACATACACCGTAACCCCGAATTAATATATTAGGTAACAGAACCATAGGGCAACAGATAATGATTTCAGCTCTATTTTCAATGATGATCCTCTAGTTCTGCCATAAAAGCAAGTGTGGGACAATTTGATAATTTTAATATATACTTTTCAAATACTGAAATGTTTATCTTTGTTCTAGCTATTATATATTATAAACTGAAAGACACAATTACAATAGTTTATCTCTACCTTAACACACATTGTAGGGTGATTCTGCTAGTAAATATCACTTACTGAGCATTTATCATATGCTCATCACTGTGCTCGGCCTGCATCTGTCCCCATTTCATCTCTTTCACGGTGTAGCTCTGGCTGGCTTGGAACTTACTATGTACACCCGCCTAGCCTCAAACTCACAGAGGGGATTAAAGGCGTGCGCCATGACACCAGGCTTTCCTTTCACAAAGTCTTCAATCGATTGCTGATGCTATTCATTTTCCGTCTTGTTGATGAACAGGCTACGCCTCGAAATGCCAAATTAGCCAAGGTCACACACTCAAAATATCAGAAAACCAAACCCATGTCTCTGAGAACTAGTGTGTTTTTAAGTTTTAACTGATTATTATTACCAGTTATTATTGTGTGTGTACACTGTGTCTATGTGCATGTGCGCCGTGTGTGGAAGTTAGAGGATGACTCTGTAGAGCTGGTTCTGTTTGCCTTTATATGGGCTTCAAGGATCGAACCCAGGTCACCAGGCTTGCATGGCATTACTTGCTGAGCCACCTTGTCAGCCCAACACACACAAAGACACACACACACACACGTCTTAATGTTTTATTTTTAATTACGAGGCACTTATGTGTCTGTGCAAGTACCTACAGAAGCCAGAAGTTGTGAGAGCCCCTGGAGCTAGAGTTACAGCAGTTATGAGCTGTTTGACATGAATGGGATCTGGTTCCCTGTAACAGCAATACATGTCCTTAATCACCACTGAGCCATCTCTCCTAGGCCCTAGCTACAAATTATGCCAAGTTTCTCACATTTGGGGAAATCACAGAAATCAGCAAATCCACACTATAATGGATGAGTCTTGCCTTGGGAAAACCAGCTTCATGATTATGGTATCTCCCTTAGCAGGTATTAAAGGTTTATTTTTTAAATTACTGTGTGTGTGTGTGTGTGTGTGTGTGTGTGTGTGTGTGTGCGCGCGCGCGCGCCCCCGGTTAAGACTAGAAGAGTGTGTCAGATCTCTGGGGTGCTGGAAAGTGAACTCAGGTCCTCTGGAAGAACAGCCAGTGTTCTTAACTGCTGAGCTGTCCCTTCAGCTTCAAGTCCTAATTTTTTTTTTTCAGGATAAAAGCTAGGTCCGGTGTCAGAGCTATTTGCTTGCACCTAAAGATCACCTGTCCAGATGTGATAAATGATGTGATTTGTATCAACGCAGTTCTTGACACACAGCCACACCTCCTCGCTTTGAACTGTCTGTGGCTGCTGTCTCTAACACAACAGACTTGGGCAGCTGCAGGATTCATATGGTTCATAAAGCCAAAATATACCTTTACTTGGCCTTCTCCATAGAAGACCCTCTTCTTCCCCAGCTTTGGAGAAAGAACTTCCTGAGAAGAGATAGAGGGCCTGTGACTATACAGAACTTTAAACCCTGGCAGAAGAAAGACAAACCATGCATGGCTGGAGATTCAGCTGTGATTTCAGCACCCTGGAGGCTGAGGTGAAGAAGACTGCTGTAGTGAAAGGCTAGCCTGGGCTACAAGGCTACTCCTAGACTAGCCAGGTCTATAGCAGGACCCTACCCAAAACAAAACCAAGAAAACATATAAAATAAATGAAATAAACAAAAACAAATTAAAAAAATATATCAAGTTAAGACAGCACTTAAAATTTACAGATCACGGGGGCTGGAGAGATGGCTCAGTGGTTAAGAGCATTGCCTCTTCTTCCAAAGGTCCTGAGTTCAATTCCCAGCAACCACATGGTGGCTCACAACCATCTATAAAGAGGTCTGGTGCCCTCTTCTGGCCTGCAGACATGCACACAGACAGACTATTGTATACATAATAAATAAATAAATAAATAAATAAATATTTTAAAAAAAAATTTACAGATCACTTTTCATAAAAGCACTAACATGAAGGACCCTTTATTTACACCCGACTAAAGGACTCAGACATTTCATTTACAAAACAAACCATCCTACTAGGCATGGTGGCATATAACTTTGATTCCAGTTCTTGGGAGCAGAAGCAGGCAGATATGTTTGAGGTCACAGTGGTCTACCTGGTGAGGTCTGGGTCAGTCAGAGCGACATAGTGAGACCCTGCCTCAAAACAAACAAACAAACAAACACAAAGAAGAGGAGGAAAAGGAGGAAAGACAAGAAGGAGAAGGAAAGAAAGGAAGAAAAATAAGGTGGAGGAACGGACAGGGTAGCTCAGGGGTAGACCTAGCATGTGCTTAGCATGTATCAGGCTTGATCCTCAACACCCACCACCCCCACAACACAAAAAAGGTCTAAAAACAAACAAACAAGAAAATTGACTAATAAACAGTCATCTCTAGAGGGCTGGAGAAACGGCTCAGGAGTTAAGAGCACTGACTGCTCTTCCAGAGGACCCAGGTTCAATTCCCAGCACCCACATGGCAGCTGTCTGTAACTCTAGTATCTGACACCCTCACACATACATGCAGCCAAAACACCAATGCAAATAAAATGAAACAATAAATATAAAGTTCCCTCTGACTGGAATTCATATAACTACCTAAGAAGCAGCGAAACCTGGCTCCTAACGTGCTTAGCGCATTGTCTCCCTCCCACATACACATTTACTTCCATTGAACAGCTCAAGGCTGCTCATTTGGGGGAATACCCACCCGGAAGACACACTTCCCCTTCACAGCATCTTCAACAGGGAGCCAAGAAGCAGAAGCAAAGTTGAACGCACTAAGGCAGTGTGGCTGGCATCTTATTTGTATCTGCCTCTCCAAAATGAAAGCCATTTCATGTTCCTCACTGTCACAACATCTATAATTAACTTTTAACAATTTAAATGAACTTTTCCAGAGATTACTGACTGCTGGAAAAATCTTATAGACAGTCACCCTGTCAGCTGTGAGCCCCGTGAAAAATAGAGAAAGACCCATGAAAATTGTGCATGAGTTAAAGTTTTATATTTCTTAATAGTTTTGTTTTTTTTTAATCTAAGCACTACTAATATGCTTGAATGACATAAATTCTTAATGTTGTCCTGGGTAACAGAGGATACCAACCTAGCCTCTACCCACAGTTGTGACAACCAAAAAGGCTTCTAAACATTGCCAAATATCCTTTAGGGTCAAAATCTCCCCACTTGAGAATCAATTTTACAAAAACTTCTAGGGTTAAAGTTTGGTCGAGATGTCATCCAAGGAAACTGCATAAAAGCTTGCTCCTAGGATAATTCTACTGTCATCAAAGAAAATACATGTAAAAGAGTGACTTTACATGTTGTAGGAAAACATGAACCTGACATGAACACTGGATGCTACATCCTTATCCTATGACTCCAAGTGCTCCATCTCTTCTAGTCTAGATAGGCATCAACTAGACTAGAAACCTAAAAGATCACATCACCTTGGCTTAAGCATTTCCAGTGATGCCAACAAAGATGTCCATTACCAAAAAGTTCTACTGAAAACAAATGTAAAATTCCACTGTTCTTTATACCAAATTAAACCAATCTCCCTAAAACTTCCTTCTTAGTTCTATTTAATTAGTGCCCCTAGCTCCTCTCTCGTTTAACTGGAATTCCTTCCCCTATTCTCTGAAGACTAGAAAAGGAACCAGGCTGGACTTGGAGGGAAACAGGCCCACTAGTCATTAGTAAATAAAGGGATAGGCTACAATCACTATGGTTTAAAAAATAAACTGTTAGTCAGGTGGTGCCGCACACCTTTAATCCCAGTCCTCGGGAGGCAGAGGCAGATGGATCTGTGAGTTCCAGGACAGCTAAGGCTACACAGAGAGACCCTATCTCAATAAACCAAACAAGTAAACTGTTAAATAAACTTACATTTAATGAAATTCAAACAATTTTAAACGTTTTATTATAGAATGGAAACAAAGCAGTATTTTTTTTTTCACTTTCTATGTTCCAAAGAGACCAGCCGACAATGAGAAAAGGACAACAAAGTGAACCTCTGGGGTGCAGAGATGCTCACCCAGTAATGTGCTTGCTGTGCAACCATGAGAACTTGAGTTTGGATCTCCAGGACCCATGTAAAAAGCGGGGAGCATGGTGCACACTTGTATTCTCAAGTGCTGAGGAGGCAGAGGCAGAAGGACCCATAAGGCTTGCTGCTCCTCCTCAACCCACACCCTAGTCTAGCAGAACTGACAAGCTCCAGGCTCAGTGAGGGATCCTCTCTCAAATAAACAAGGTGGAAGGCTGGGGAGATGGCTCATCCGTTAAGTGCACTTGCCGCTCTTGCAGAAGACTTGGGTTCTGTTCCCAGCATTCACAAGGTGGCTCACAACCATGTTTAGCTCCAGTTTCAGGGTATCCAAAGACCCTGGCCTCTGCAGACACCAGGAACACATATGGTACACATACATACAAGCAAAACACTCATGCACATAAAATAAAGCTAATTAATTTTTAAAAAGTAAAAGATAAAAACAAGGTAGAGAGTGATTGAGACACCTATCAACCTCTGGCCTCCACACACACGCATACATATATACACCAATACGTACACACACAGACCACATACATACACAAGGGCATTTAGTGAGGACGAAATAAGATTCTGTTTAGTGAAGTAAGTTTTTAGTTTGTAAATCAGAACTGTCCTATAGGTACCACTTTAAATTTTGAGAAATAAAACATCACACCCAATATTAATATTTAAAATTTTACTAGATATCCTGGATAAACCACTAGCCATAGATTCTTTTGTGTAGATTTTAAGGCAGGCTTTATTTATAACTAGACTCTGTTTAGTCCGATACTTGTGATTATGCCCACAATGTACCTAATATATTTAATTTTTAATACATATGAGAATATACTCTGTCTTTAATATTAAAGAATTGTGTTGCCATTTACTTACCAAACAAAACAAACCCCTTTCTGTGATAACCAGAGCCATCGACAAGAACAGCTAAGCAATCATCAATTTTACACACAGATGTAGTAAAGGTAAAGAGGGTGCTGAATTTACCTGTTCTCATGAAAAGCCTAGAATGAAGTAATACTCATTTAAATTCCAACTCAGGAGAAAATAAAACCAAGACTCAAAGCTTACAGCTAGGTCAAGAGCTTGAATAGTTTCTAGTTCAAAGATGTTTCTATTGCATTTACTCTTCAAAGTTACTTAAGAATCATGCTTTGTGTGAGACACTATAAGTTCGGTAGATGGAATTTTATTTATAGTCATGTAAGAGAAAGCTAAGAGATCATGATTTGTTACACCAACACATGAGTTTGGGAGAGGAAAAAGGTAGGTGTTAACACCAGTCTAAATGAATCCAAGTTCTTCAAAGGACGTACTAGGAAAATAAACAATCATCTTTTGCACTTACAAACAAAATGTTTAGCAAACATCAACTTTCTGTAAGAGGATTTCCAGGCCCATCAGGGAGAAGCACTTTTGAAAGAAAAGAATTTTCCATATAAAAATGGTATCTTCCTCCAGTGACTTATGAGAATGGTATGGATGAGTTTAACAAAAAATAAGGAATGGAATCCAAGAACCAAAGACAGTACAAATGTTACCAGCATAACAAACTTTGTTACAAACAAATTCTCCACTCATTCATTCATTCATTCAATATTTATTTATTGAGGGCTTGCCATATGTATGAGGTCAAAAAGCTAAAACAAAATGATGACACTATGCACTTTCATTATTTATCAAAACATGGCCAGTAATAAATAAAAATGACAAATAATAATAATAACGATAAGAAGAAGAAGAAACAATTTATTTTGGATGACTGCAGCAAAACACACCGGGTAAAAGGCTCCTTACTTCAATTTCTGCAGATTCCACCCGGTTCTCAATTATTTCCAGACACTGTCTCTTAACTGGCGGCTCCTCACTGATGACAGTTTCTTCAGCAATGTCTGTTGCTGGTACTGTTAATACTAAAATGAAAAAGGTACACTTGTTACGTCACCCCAGACAACTAAGAGATAAAAAGTCTCAATACTGTTGGTGCTACTCGCCTGCAGCAAGCAGCCCCAGTCATTTCAAACATTGCTCTTGTATAAAGATGGCCTTATTGGCCACCTTCATGGTCTCTCTGAAGCCCACTTACTAAAGTAGCTACTGAGGGTAATCATATACATAATATACTCATCCACAGCTGAAAGGTCAAAATAATATTAAAGACACATATTTTAAGAGGTCTCAGGCACCTGCAAACATAATTCCTTTTACTAGTTTCTTGTGTATTATTCTCACAACAATTCATGTAAAAACAACAAGTATACATATACAGAGTACACTCTCAAACACACATGCATGGGATGCATATACAGAGTACACTCTCAAACACACATGCATCACTCTGTGTCTGCTTTTCCAGCTCCATTTAGATTTCCCTTTCTCAGCAGAGCTTTGCAATGCCTGCCAGTACTCTACCTGAACGCACACAATGGTGAACACTGTTCCTGCTTCCCTGCTGGACTAGTGGGCATTCTTTACGTTCTTAGTGTTTTCATAGAAAACATGGACCCTGGCAACATATTTGATAGCCAGGAAGAAAAATTTTAATTAGTTTTTAAGTCATGAGGGAAATTCCAGCCGTTTTCTAAGACTATCAGAACTTTTTGTCAAAGTGGGCATGGTGGGACACTCAGGAGGCAGAGGCAGGTGGATCTCTGTGAGTTCAAAGTCAGTCTGGTCTACAGAGTGAGACCTTGCCTCAAAAAATATGTAAATGTTTATTTTATTATCAAAACATGGCCAGCATTATGGCTCTACAGGTAAGGACACTTGCCACCAAGCCTGACGACTTGAATTCAATGCTGGGATCCACATGGAGGAAGAAAAGAATGGATTCCCTTCAGTTGTGCTGACTTCCACGTGTGCTGTGCTGCACACATTCTCCTCCCAACAAGTAATGGTAAATGCTTTGTAAATTTTTGTCAAAACATTAAAAACTGTCAGCAACAAAGGTAATGCATTTAAAAGTAGTGAAACTAGTATTAATTTAATTCAATGTACAGTAATTTAAAACATTAGAAATGGGACTTAGCAGTTAAGAGCATTGGCTGTTCTTTCAGGGGCCTAGGGCTCAGTTCCCAGCATCAACATGGCAGCTCACAACTGTTTATAACTACAGTTCCAAGGGATCTGACACCTTCTTGTGGCCTCCATGGGCACTGCATGTATGTAGCACACATAAATATATGTATAGAACCATGCTTACAAAAGTATTTAAAACATTAGCTGTGCTAAGAAAGTGTTATTTTATTTTATTAATAACAAATTATGTTTATAACAATTCAAGAATGGAGAAAAAATTGGTAGTGTCAGCCAGGCATGGTGGGGTGTGCCTTTATGGCTCTTATACAACTGAATAAAAAGCCTACAGCATAAAACTTTTCTTCTCTCTAATCTAGTAAAAAACAAAGCTTATCCCCTACTTAAAACAGTTTATGTTGTGTATTTTTGGCTTCTGGAGAAAGTTTTGCAGGTACTCTGACACCCCCTCTGTAATCAGGAAGCCTCTGTGGCAAGGGAGCAGTGTGTGTGGCAAAGCCTGCCTGGGCTCATGAAAGGTGGTGAACAGACAGTTTGTTGTGGCTTCCTTCAGTAACTTCAGTATAATGCTGATATTCACCATTCCTCTCCAAAGAGAATCTCAACTTCTTCTTCTTCTTTTTTTGTTTTTTTTTTTTTTTTTTTTGGTTTTTCGAGACAGGGTTTCTCTGTGGCTTTGGAGCCTGTCCTGGAACTAGCTCTGTAGACCAGGCTGGTCTCGAACTCACAGAGATCCGCCTGCCTCTGCCTCCCGAGTGCTGGGGTTAAAGGCATGCGCCACCATCTCCCGGCTGAATCTCAACTTCTTGATAAGGATGTGGATCATGGTCACATAATCTAGCTCAATGCAGACAGAGTAGTCACCTCCCAGCACATAAGATCTAGGGCCTCGGTGTGTGGAACAGCCTGCATGGCTGCCTACTAGTTCTCTTCTCTCATTTAGACATTCCTAGTGGACTTGCTGGGACAGCTTCCACACTATTCAGGAAGCTCTGCACTAACTGGCATGGGATGGTCATGCTCACAGTCAGGTGCCTTCTGTAACTGAAGCATTTACACCATGCTCAAAGCTGCCCTCATTCTCTATCTCCATTCTGTTCAGATGGTCAGTGACCATGATGCCGACTGGGACATTCACGGAAGTCACCTAGACTTCCCAACAGTCTATTTGCCTCTGACTGCTGCCACTACCAGAGTCAATCTACAAAACATCTAAAAGTGCTTAACTGATAGTACAGCAATGAGGTTAGACCATGGATATAAAGGTGACCCAGTGAGCTATAAGGGTCAAGTACCAACAGGTCTGATTACTTATCCATATTCCCCAAATGAAACAGACCACACTACTGTCAGATTCCTTCATAATTATTGGTTCCACACTGTCATACATATCTCCTCCCTAGAACAGCTATGCCAGAAGTAGGAGCCAAGAACTCGAGCAGTCCATTAAAGCCAACATTGCCTACAAAGAGTATGAACTCAAAGTCAAAAGCAATCAGTTCAGCTATGAGGTTATGGGCTGTTTGTTTGGGTTTTTTGCAATGGGGTAAAAGTTATAAAACTCTTGAATGGACATCCCTGAGGGAGAACGTTCCTGATGGCATTATACTCCAAAATGTAGCATAGTCTCTGAGATGTTGATCTTCAGTGTGTGGCTGAAGAAATAAGGGTGCCCAGGCATGTGACCCTCTTGCCCATATAGGCAGTCTGACCACAGTACAAGCACACCATGCTGCAAACAGTAAAATGGTTCCATAGCTTTGAAGTCTTCTTATTATTAACAGGAAAAACAATTTGATAGTTCTTTCTAATTATTATTGTTCATTGTCACATCAACTAATTTGGTAGAGAACTTCCCACAGAAGCTGAAGTGGCAAGTGACAAGTTTGCCACACTTAAAACTTGATTGTGCCTGGTTCCTGAACACCTCAAAGTGGTGTCTGTTTACCCGCCATATCAAACATCTGGCGCCCACATGTCCCTTCCTCCGCCTCTAATGGCAGCTAGTACTCACACACTGCCTTGAGACTGTCTGGGGAGAGTGGAGGTGCGCAGTCACACTTCAGACTGCAGATTCCTTTTCTAGGAAGCTGTCCTAGAGCCCGTGAGGCAGGAATCCCCTCCAGAACACAGTGTTTGTTTTTTTTTGTTTTTGTTTTTGTTTTTTCGAGACAGGGTTTCTCTGTGGCTTTGGAGCCTGTCCTGGAACTAGCTCTGTAGACCAGGCTGGTCTCGAACTCACAGAGATCCGCCTGCCTCTGCCTCCCGAGTGCTGGGATTAAAGGCGTGCGCCACCACCGCCCGGCTCAGAACACAGTGTTTGTGTGCATGCACAGGAACAAAACATACACACAGAACAGGATGCTGTGAGTCTCACCTGCCCTTCTGTAGCCTACTCTGAGGGGCGCATTCACTTCATGCGTATAAACAGACAATGAACCATCTGTACCAAACCTGTTTGTGTTCATACTCTTTCATGAAGCATGTACATATTCCTTTGGTGCTCTCAAAAAAATGTCTCTGCAGCCAAGTGGTTGTGGCGCTCACCTTTAAACCCAGCACTCAGGAGGCAGAGGCAAGCAGATCTTTATGAGTTCAAGGTCAGTCTAGTCTACAAGAGCTAATTCCAGGATAGGCTCCAAAGCTACAGAGAGAAACCCTGTCTCAAAAATACCAAAAAGTCTGACTTTGAAGCATTCCTCTTGGAGTTCTGTGCTGGTGGAGAGGAGACACTGGTCATGGTTCCACAGCTGTCCAGCGTGCTGCTGTGCCAAGACAATGGCACCCCAGTCACCTTGTTACCAGCAGACTGAGGTTTGCCAAGCTTGCATATGCCTACCTGTCTCATGTCCTCAGAATCATTTATAATGTGCTTTCTTTTCCAAACTCAACTAGGAATATAATCAGCATTTCCTGTTTTTTGTTGTTATTGTTATTATTGTTTGGTTGACTTTTTTCTTTTTGTTTTTTTTTTTTTTTTTTTTTTTTATATTTATTTATTTATTTATTATGTATACAATATTCTGTCTGTATGCCTGAAGGCCAGAAGAGGGCGCCAGACCTCTTTACAGATGGTTGTGAGCCACCATGTGGTTGCTGGGAATTGAACTCAGGACCTTTGGAAGAGCAGGCAATGCTCTTAACCACTGAGCCATCTCTCCAGCCCGACTTTTTTCTTTTTGAAATTCACTTAAATCAAAAATATGTTTCCTGATTACCCAACAGTGCCCAGTCGTATCTCAGGTGTCTCACTATGCTAGCATCCTAGGCTAAGATGCTCATTTGTGCAAACACTTTTTAAAGCAACAGTTCTATCTTTTAGGCTGTTGCTAGGAATATGGCTGATCTTAGGTATCACTGGAAAGACACGATAGCTCAAATGCACATGCTGGGCACAATTCTCTCCAGTTCTACTCAACACAGTCTGGACATGTGTATAGTACAGGCTTCTGGTCTTACAGACGAGCCTCTGCCATCTCAACAGCAGGAACATCCTCTTGCGCTTGTCTCCACACTTCCAGAGCTCAGCTTCCCAGCTTGCCACACTTCTCAAGCTCTATACCTACCAGAGATCTGGGCCACACCCTCAATTTGTACCGCTAGTAGTTTCTTTTCTTTGATGGCATTTTTTTAAAGTTCTCATTATATATGAATTGCATAAAACAGTCTAAAAATTGTCCAATTCTGAGTTATTTGTGTACTATTTGTAGCAATATTTCATTTTCCACACAGAATATTTTGAGGCTAATTCCACCTACTAAGTGCTCAAGTAAGCTAATTTAAATACTAGTCTAAGTAAATAAAATCAGGGAATTATATCCATTATAAAAGATTATATGAGTAAAATTCAGTGCATAAATAAGTGCTGTTTAAACAGTGTCCCGAGTATTGAATGCAAAGCAACTTCACCCAGACATCTAGTACTAACCTTGCTGTCCATCAGGCATGGTCACAATGATGGGCTGACCCATCCCACTGGTTGGAATGGAGTGCAAGTTTCCCAGTTGGATTCCATCTGTAACTATCGTGATGACTTGCTGACCCCCTGAGCTAACTACTTGCTGAATTGCACCATCGACAGATTCTGCGGTAACCACTTCCTCTGTGGCCACTACTAGAAGGGGAAAAGAAAGTAAAAATCATTCAATATGAATATAAATGCATTTTTTGTCTGTGTCTTTCATACTGGATAAGTTTACATGGTTTTTAAATGTCACTGCCAAAGGTAATATAGACGTCTATGTAAGTAGTTGACTGAAAGTTTTAAAATTTATAATTGAGTCCCAACCACCTTTTTATGACCGCATTTTAATAATCTTCACTCCTCTGTATCTTCTTCACATGAAGTTCAATATAAGATCACTGACTAATAACAAAGGTTACAGCTACTTAATGAAATGACGCAACTCCGCCAGGTGATGGTGCACACGCCCTTAATCCCAGCACTCAGGAGGCAGAGGTAGGTGTATCTCTGTGAGTTTGAGGTCAGCCTGGTCTACAGAGTTAGTTCCAGAGCCGCCAAGGCTACGCAGAGAAGCCCTGTATCAAAGACTCAACTCCAATGAGAACTTCATGATTTTACTCTAGACACATTTATGTATCAAGGGACATGCAGAACAAGCAGGAGTCCCTTTTGGACCAAGTGAGCAAAAACAGAGTTGGCACTGTATGGCAATGTGTAATTCAACTTTTGCACAACCAAGCCCCCAACTATGCTCTCAATAATTTCTAAGAGGTGCACAGAGAGTTCTGCTGACAGCTAGAAACTTTGCCTTTGGCATTGCCTAAGTAAAAGAAAACAAAATCTCATGTTGATATGTCAAAACTTCTTCCCCCCAGGCAATTCTACACTGAGCCCCAAAAATGTGTGCATAAAGCCATGCTAATTGGCACTCCTAAGAGCTTCACAGCAGAAACTGTGAGGTAAAACAAGAAACAACCACACACTCTTGGCAGTAAATAAACTGGGGCCATCATACAATGGAATACAACAAGGTCACTAGAATAACTACACCAGTCATGTGTAAAACATGGATGAAAGTAACAAAACATCTGTAAGTAATGAAAACATGTTCTACCCTCTACCCGCCTTCCTCTTATGAACTGAGGAAGATTCTCCTGGAGTGAACTTTATAAAATCTGTAATAACACGTTTAAGAGGGAGTGGAAAGGGTAAAGGTTTTAACGAAGAGTGACAATTAACTAACAGAGTCAAAGGGTCACAACACAAACCCAGAATACCCTAAAATGCAAACGAACTTTTGAGAGTTCTCGTTATTTTGTTTGCCCTAAGCAATAATTATGCTTTGTTAGCAAGCACACCAGACAATTTCAGGAAAAGAACCATGAGATAACACAGAGAGCACACAGGAGCAATACATCCAGCAGAATAACTATTCATGTTTCCAATGCACACCTACTGCTTTGATTTCTTTTAAACATCCATATAAAAAAGAAAGGCTCACTGGTTGAATACTAAGTAAAAGTACTACTATTTAAAAGCTGTAGCGTATGTAAGAAACTTCTGAGGTCACAACAGTCAAGGCTCAGCTCAAGAACTTTCATCTTTGCACTGTTAGCAATAACTGTCATTAAAATAATAAGTCCTACCTTTCATCTAAAAGGCTCTTTTAAGTTGTGTAATGATAAAGTATGTATGAAAAAAATTAAAAGGAAAACAATTATAAAAAGTACACATCCCAAACCTAGAGAACAATCTAATAGCCAAATGTTGGAATATGTAAGAAAAAACAACCTTAAAACTTTAGAAGATTGTAGACATAAAGTGTGTATGTGTGTGTGTGTGTGTGTGTACAAATTGGCTTAATAAAAGGTAACTGTAATATCATAAATATTCATTGATCTAATATAAAAGTCAAGCTATAATGAGGAGAGCCAAACAATGTCTGTGCCTTTGAGGTTAAATTACCATGCCATAAGCTGAATTAAGGCCAATAAGAAAACATTCCCTGAAAACTACCAAGACTTCTGAACACTTTTATGTAGAAATATTTACATGAAACAAAAACTACATTACAGAAAAATATAACATTTTGAAGGCAGACTCCTATAATCTAACCTGAAATTAAGAACAAAGAAAAGTAAAACTAAAAAGACTCACATGACCCAGTAACTCATTCCTAAGTTTCATTACCCTATTCTGGAATAGACCAAAAATATAATGCATAAAAATTTCCTGATAGGGCTGGAGAGATGGCTCAGCGGTTAAGAGCATTGCCTGCTCTTCCAAAGGTCCTGAGTTCAATTCCCAGCAACCACATGGTGGCTCACAACCATCTGGAATGAGGTCTGGTGCCCTCTTCTGGCCTGCAGACATACAGACAGACAGAATATTGTATACATAATAAATAAATAAATATTTAAAAAAAAAAATTTCCTGATAAAAACTTTACTTTGAGAAAGAGAATTTTCAATGGCCACTAGACCCTTTATATCTTTCAAATACATCTAACAATTACAAATTTTTAAATAGAAAATGAGGGGAACTCATAGATTTCTATTTAATCAAGGTATTATGTAACTGGGCCACAGAGAAGAATACAGAAAGCAAAGAAAAGTCATAGGACTACAGGCTAGGGCTACAAAACAAAGGCTTTCTGAAAAGCCACTGGGGTGGTGTGTGTGGCACACGTGTGTGTACATGTGTGTGCAAGCCACGGAGGAGTCAGGGCAGGCTGTGAGGTATCTTCCTCTACAGCTGGTCATCTTACTAGCGAAAAACAGGGAGTCCCACTCAGCACAACTTCACCCTTTTGGCTGGCAAGCCAGCTCTTTGGAGCTACCTATCTCTGCCCTCCCCATGCTTGAATTACGGGCGCATGCAGCCATCCTGGGCTTTCCATCTGGGAGCTGAGGCTTCAAACTCAGGTCCTCATGTTTGAACAGCAAGCACTCTTTACCCAAGAAGGCAGTCTATAAAAAGGTATTTTACACTAAACCCTCCACCTCAAAAGGCTGAGCATGTGCCAACCGCGTCCCAAGACTGGATCTCTTTCATTGGTGTGCATCGCAGTGATGCATCGACCTGGGCTTGTGCTGCAGTCGCATTCCCTAATATCCCCACCCCAGCTCGCCCAAGTCTTCAGCATGACAGAGCACTGAAATGAAGTCTCCACATTTAAACCAACAATGAAAGTTTTCTTTCTCCCCTTTTCACTGGTGCCAGGGCCTCACGCACAGTGAACACACATACTCTCTCTAAGCTGCTACTGTTAGCCCTGAAACCGGCTGTCTTTGATGGCTTCTGCAAACCTAAGTACTAACTAAAAAATGCAGCATGTCAAAACGGTGATGCTTGTGGATGCTAATGGCCAGAAGTAATTTACAAAAATCTTAAGACCTGCCAAGAATCAGGATAACACATATATGTTTTTATAAAGTAGCCAAAGAAAATGGGAAAAGGGTAAGATTTTTCTCTTTTCCAAGTGAAAAGAAATTCATTTATGTCCACATTAAATCTTTATGGTAAAAAACTCAATGACACCCTAAATAAAATTTGGAAAAGAATGAATTGAAGGTTATTCTTTACTCTTACAAGCAAATATGATCCAAATGATCATTTAAACTACAGTTAGAATAACATTTCTCAAGGTTTGGGGGACTGTGCATGTCTTTACTTTTCTTAAGGCACAGTATCACCTAGGCTGACTTTGAACTTGTCATTCTGTCTTAGTTCTTGAGCAGCTAAGACTATTGGCAGGCACTATGGTACCTGACTACTTCAAGATTTCCCTAAAATTTCCAAATTAAAAGAATAATTTATTTACACAATAACTAAAAGACAATGTGAGGAGAGTATAAAAACAAATCAGGTTGGAACCAACTACCTGTCAATATTTCATGTCATCATCTGAACACAGCTAAACCAACACTCTACCCCACCCCTTTGAGACAGGGTCTCACTATGTAGCCCTGCATGGCCTCATGGAACTCATAGAGATCTGCCTGCCTCTGTCTCCTGAGTGCTTGGATTATAATTGGGTGCTACCAAGTCCAGAACATGGGGCACAGCTAACCTTTCTTTTTTTCCTTTTGGTTTTTTTTGGGTTTTCAAAACAGGGTTTCTCTGTGTAACAGTCCTGGCTGTCCTGGAACTAGCTATGAAGACCAGGTAGACCTCAAACTCACAGAGATCCACCTGCCTCTGGCTCCTGAGTGCTGGGATTAAAGGCGTGCGCCACCACCGCGCGGCCCAGCTAGCCCTTTTAAGAGTGGTTTTTATACTGTTTCAGTCGTTAAGATTTTTCTAATAGTCTTATCTGATACTGCCAAAACTAAATTTATAAAAATGCAAATTCATATTTATCTACTCTATGTAAACAAGTCAAAAATGGCAAAAACCGAGGTCCAAAATGGGCAAGCACATGTTTTATGTGACCCATACAAGTACGCTTTTCATTTTGTTACTAAAATTTAGCACTTCTTATGCATTTATTCTCTTGGTGTTGTCTTCTCTTGTTTCTTTGAGACCGTATCATACTGTGTAGCCCAGGCTGAAACAGAACTTATAATTCCCCCTGCCTCAGCCTGAGATGCTGGGATTACAGGAGTACAGACCATGCCTGGTTTAATTTTTTTTTTTAAAAGAAAAACATCTGGATTTTTTTCTAGTTTCCCATGTAAACACAGGTTCTAGCAGGATGGGACACATTACCACACTCAGGGCGAGCCAAGCAATGGATGCCCACCCTACTTCACATTAGCTGAGAAGAACTCCCCCACCCCAGTCCTCTGTCACCCTGTACCTCTTACTTTCTTACTATTTTTAATAAAAATGGGATCAGGATATTGAATCACACTGGTGGCTAATACAAAAATAAACATAAGAAGTACCAACTTTAATTAATAAGAAATAAGACAGTAACAAGAAATGTACCAACTAATTCTGAACAAACCGCAGAGGTAAACACAAACTGTAAGCAAAGACTCTTGAAGAAAACAAGATAGTCTACTAAATCATGAAGCGGTTTCTGAACAGGATTCAAACAGCACTAAGCACAGAGGAAAACCCTGACAAAGTGGACTATGAAAAGGTCAGTGCACAGATGTGACTTGTTCTCTAACCTGGAGTTTCTGAAGAATTGGACAATGGGGCAGACGCCTCCGCTAAGGCAGCTAATGTAGCTAATACTGACGTAGAGGAGTTCCCAAACTGAACAGCAGACACTCCTGTTTCATCTAGAAGAAAAGAAAAGAGAATTTACATCAGGTGCTTACCCCAGTGCATCCTGCTCATCTACGTCCACTCAAGTCTTCACTAACGCTGGACAGCATCGGTGCTGCAATGCTGTCACACACTGTAAGACTGCCTTTCTTCAGATTCATCTACCTCAGAAGGATGGGGACCGGGAGAGCAGATGTTATTCTTACCCTCATTGTCCAACAGTCCTTCCTCAAACTGATGATACCTACTAATGTTTAACATCCTAACAGCTGTCCTACATGCATCTCAATACCTGTTGCCTTGGATGAACTTTCTGAAGATACCAGACCTGTTAGGTTCACCACCCCTCCAGGTCCGATGATGAACTGTGGGGTGGCAGTGTGTATTGTCACAGTGTCAGGGCTCTCCGGGTTGGTGTTGATTTGGTTCTGCATAGCAATCTAGGGAACAAATTATCACAATACTTTCAGAATTACAGGCAGCACATGTGGGACAGGCTTTCAATGCAGTACATAATACACATATGAAGAAGCAGTCTCAGAAGAGTCACACAATTCAATGGGAAGACTTGCTAATGAAGCACCGGGAGTACAGCTCTAAGGATAGGTGTGAATTCACATCCTATAGCCTTCTGTTGAGTGACAGCAAACCCCACCAGAGGAGAAATTAGTATCTGAAAGGTGCTTACAGAACACAGAAAAGCTACACATTGAAAGGTAGTCTACTGTTCTGTCAAATTAAATTATTTCTACCACACTAGGCAATATATAACATATCAAAATATGACCTTCCCATTTAATTGTTCTCAATCTTTAAATCTCAACCCTTAAACTGTATTCCTAGATATGAAAGATGAGAAGAGTCAACGTAAAACTCATAATTTCCCAGCACACAGCACATCTCATAAGTTGTGGAGTTCAATGAAGTCAGGTGATCTTAGAGAGTTCTACTGAGAACAGAACAAGAAGACAAGCAAGAAGAAATCCTGCAAACACAACTATGTCTATAATAGTTGTTTTGTTTTTACAGAGGGTGAAAAAAAAGAAAGAAAGAAACCAGAATAACAGACTGTATCACAAAACCTTGGCAAAGTTTTGTCATTTTCAGTCAGGTGTGTCTGCCTTGGTACCTACTGCTTGTGCCACTGGAAGTGTCAGCCCTATCGAGGGGCTGAGGGAAAAGACAGGGTTAGTTAGAAGGAGGAGCTGCCTAGGGAAATTCCCAAAAGCTGCACCATGAGAAAAAGGATGTAAAGGGGAAGGGGTTATCTGAACATGAATCAAACCCAACTGGGAATCACTTCAGCCTTTTAACTAAAGTAAACCTTTTCATCCACATCCCTGGACAGCTAAGCCCAGACAAATAAAAGCCCTGCATAGTGAGACATACCAGCTTGCTAGATCCCAACTTACATTTTAAAACATTTACACATACTAATGTTAGACAAAGTAGATTTAAAATAAAGAGGGGGTCAGGATAGTTCAGTGAATAAAGGAACTTGCCAGAGAAGCTTGAAGACCTTAGTTCAGTCCCCAGAACCCACGTGAAGATGGAGATGACTCCGGGTACCCTCTAACCACCCTACACCTGCCCCACACATGCATAATCAATTTTAATTGTTTAAACAGACAAAATAGATTATAAAAAAGACTGTATCACTTATCGAAGGAACATTAATTCCTGAGTCTTTATAAAGTAGTTTACAACTGATTTGGTAAAACATGATATCCAAATGTGTGACAAAATAATGGAAATGTCTAGGAGGGGAGTTCAGAAACTGAAAACACAGACGGTCAGCGCCTCATCTAACTCTCTAGAGTACAAACAGTAATGAACAGAGAGGAAGTGGAGAGAACAAGGCCATTCAAAAGAACTGAATCCAACAGGAGAAGCTACAAGACAAAGAGCATCCATCTGTAAGCTGCCTTTCATGTTTTCTTAAACTCAAAGCCAAGTTACCTGTAATATCTCTGCTAAATCTTCATTTCCATTGTCTATTGAAATATCAAATGCAGTTTTACAAAATTTACTCTGCGTGTGTACATCAGCACCATATTTGATTAAAAGTTCCACCACCTCTTGATGATTATGTTCTGTTGCCCAATGCAGAGCTGTCATCTTTAACATATCCTTTGCATTGACGTCAGCACCATGCTAAAAAATATTTCAAAATCAGTAATATTTCAAGATATGAAATATAAAGAATCCCTGATATGAGAATATCAGCCACAATGCTTCTACACAAGAAAAAGGACCATTAATTTTGGGGGAGTGTTAATATATGTTATTAATATATGTTAGCACTCATCAATTATCTGTGACCTAATCATTTTTCTACCATGATGGTTTTCCTAACTACTTTCCTTTCTTGAAATAAGACAATTAAGATTTTGCTACTCAACTAGGGGCACAACGGGCTGGAATGGCCTTACAGGTGAACGGCAGCGCTGAGTTTTTCTCCGGAACACTTTAATGGTTTATGGTGAGTAATCCTCTCATCCCTCACAATTAAATATACCCTTTGCTTTCAAAACAAGCACAACCCAAGGAGTCAAAAGGAAGCTGTCTGAGGCAGTGTCTGACATGTCAGGAAGGAATGGCTGGCTATTCAGCAAACTTCAGCTCGTCAGGCACAGGTGCGCTTTGTGTAAACAAGCCCTGGAGCTCAGTAACAAACAGAATATGAAACATCCCAGCAATGATTTCTACTCTGCTCTCATGTTGAAATGATAATGTTTTAAACACAATAAATTAAATATTAAAATGACTTTTTACTTTTTTTGTTTTGTTTTTGTTTTTTCAAAACAGGGTTTCTCTGCATAGCTTTGGAGCCTGTCCTGAAATTCACTCTGTAGACCAGGCTGGCCTCGAACTCAAAGAATTGCCTACATCTGTCTTCCAAGTGCTGGGGTTAAAGGCACATACCACCACTGCCCAGTGAATTTTTATTTTTTGATGTGGCTTTAAAAATACCTAGGATTACATGTAATTTGTCCTCTAGAGTTCCTTGTATTTCTTTCACATGGGTTCGTCTATGGGTTAGGATGAAAAGGGTTAAGAATAAAGGCTGTCACTCTGTCTGAGAATCTTCTGTGTAACCTGAAGATAATTTAATTAGATTTTGGATGACTAAAGATAATTTAATTACTTATTAATCTGCCTGCTAGTCATCCAAGACTATTCTTCCCTGCATAGGATTCTAAATGAATTAAGTTCTTCACCCAAAGGACTGACTTTCAATAGCTGGCAATTAACTGAGAATACACCTACAGGAAGATTTTTTCCCTACAAAGAAAACTTTAAGGCAATATTCATTTGACAGACTTATACACATCAATAACAAATGCTCTATCACACAGAAAACAAAAAGTATGCACTTAATAAAACTTTTCCCTTTTTTCATCTTACAAAGTGTGTATAGGGTTTGGATTCAAAATCTAAGTCCAAAAAGAAGACCTACCTTTAGCAAAACCTCCACTATGCTGGCGTGGCCCTCGGAGGCTGCCATGTGCAACGGGGTCCGGTCCACTTTGGTCCTGGCATCCCTACTTACACCGGCTCGGAGAAGTACCTCTGTGGTAGAGTAATGCCCATACTGTGCGGCCAGATGAAGTGGAGAAGTTCCCAACTATAACATAGGAACACATGCATACACATGCACAAAAGAGAAATTCCAGGTTTAGCTGCTTTTAATATACTTCTACTATAAACTCTATTTTTAAACAGTGATGCATATTACATTGTGTATTTGAATTACTATGTAATTCACACATCAAAAGAAATCACTCAACTCAGGCTTATCTTCACAAGCCCTCAAGAGGTCCCACACGTGCATTAGTGGGGAAAGGTCAGTGGTCCCTTTCCCTTTCTCTACAGTTAGACAAACTTGAGATTCTGCCTCAGCCTCCTAGCTCTTTATTACTAACAGAAAAACAACCTTAATTAATTTTATTAAAAATTAGAGCTAATTATGACCTGAGAATTAAGAAGAGATTCATATCTCATATCAGAGGGGTATATCTAGATAGGTGAAGCTTAGGTTACATTATATTACATGCACTAAGAAGCACAGAAAAGCCCACTAATTGCAATTGCCAGTCAATGACGTTAAAAAAGCTATTTCACCAGAACATGAACTTTGCCAGGCTGTCATTATTAGATAGCAACTGTTTTAATTTTTTTTATTTGTTTTAGATTTACTAATTTTACTTTATATGCATGAATGTTTTGCCTAAATGCATGAATGTGCCATAACCCCTAGAAATGAAGTTATAGATGGCTATGAGCCAACAAGTGGGTACACAAAACTGAACCCAGATCCTCTGCAAGAGCAACAAGAGTACTTAACCACTGAGTCATTTCTCCAAGCAATCACTTTCTATGGACCACAGTGTTCTAAGACCTTCGTTTACTGGCTTCATAGCTCAGGCACTATTATTACCTTGATACGTATGGCAGTAAAGGAACCTGAAGTGCAGGGAGGTCACCAATTTGCCTAAAGCCACACAAGTGACATAATACAAAGCAAACCTTAGAAATAATTATTTTATTACAACAAAAAAATCACTTATTTTAATAGAGGTTTTAACAGACCCTCACAGATCAAAGGTGAGATTGCTGAATAATCCTTTTTTCATGCTTTATTGTATTTTTTTAAAAAAACAATACAAATGTTTTATTTAATAGTCGCAGGTCATCATGGGCGCCAAGTGGTGGATACTCAGGACCCAGCAGGAAGGTCAGCGTAACCTCTGAGCCTCCCTTTCTGATTCCAATAGGGTGAGCTAATCTCCCTCTCGAACGGGACCTTTGACGTTTCGGATGATGGAGCGGCTGGTGTCATCCATGAATTCCACACGCACCTGTAGCATGAGCTGCGGGCCTGCTTTTCGTCCCACCCGGCTCTCGCAGGGCTAGCTTTACACCAGAAATAACAACACACAAATTGTATTCTTTTAAACACTGTTTGGCCCATTAACTCTAGCCCTTACAGGCTAATTCTCATATCCCTATCAGCCATCTCTAATGAACTGTGTAGCACCGGTCTTACCGGGAAAGATTCAGCATGTCTGACCTGGCGGCTTGCTTCATCGCGTGCATCTGCCTCAGAGAACAGAGCTATCGCATCTGCCAGGGAGAGGGGAGCTTGTCGTCTCTGAGCTCACTTCCTCTTCCTCCCAGCATTCTGTTCTGTTTACTCCACCCACCTATGTTCTAACCAATAAAATGAGCCAAGGCAGTTTCTTTATTTTTTAACCAATGACCTTCCTCCATCACGCACCTGCGTGCATTGTCCCTGAGACCGGTCCTGCCCAGCACTTTGGTTACCCTAGCGAGCTTGATGGGCAGCACGCAACTCATGTCCATGATGGCAGCGATCAGGCGAAGAGCACTTTATTGTATTTTTATATAACTGGCCTTTTCTCCACTCTCATATTCTATATTTAATGAAAACCTTTAACAGTACACCGAACAACCACTGAGACTTACTCAGTAAGGTACTGAGGTCTACTTTATATTTCTATTGTTATTCTTTTTTTTATTTATTTATTTTTTTAAAGATTTATTTATTATATATACAACATTCTGCCTCCGTGTGTGCCCACACGCCAGAAGAGGGCGCCAGATCTCATTACAGATGGTTGTGAGCCACCATATAGTTGCTGGGAATTGAACTCAGGACCTCTGGAAGAGCAGCCTGTGCTCTTAACCACTGAGCCACCTCTCCAGCCCCTCTATTGTTATTCTTAATATTTTTCCTTTTTGGTTCACATGCAAAAAAATATGTAACATGCATACTTACATACAATTTCAAGAATAGTTAATGTCTGTAAAGTCAACACCAGAGTCTGGAAGGATAACCTGTCTAGTAATTTTAAGTCCTCCTACAGGTTGTTCTCCGATCATAATAAGCCCTTCCTTAGTCGGATAAATGCTACTCAAAAAAGAATTGGTTCTGGTATGTATCTGTGTGGTATAGTTCTAGGGATCCAAACCAAGGCCCTCATACTTAAATGGCAAGCATTTTACACACTAAGCCATCTCCCTAGACCCTACTCAGAACTTTCTGACAAGCATTGTTTTTATTTTTATCAACTACATATCCTTAAATGGTACAGTCTGATTCTTTACTAGAATCCTACCACGTGTACTTCTGATTTTTCAACTTAATATTATGTTTACAAAATGTTAATGGGCATAAATATAGTACACTAACTTGCTCTACAACATTCCACTCCATGAAAAAGCTGTAGACTAATCAACCAACCAATGATCACTGCTTTGTTATTATAAACAATTCTGCTACAGAGGATCTTCTAGTAATTTAAGCACATAACCAAGATTTTATTCAATATTCTAGTTCAACTGATACAAACGGCATATACATATTAAAATTTACTAAACACTGTCAAACTGTCCTCCAAAATGGCGACATCAATTCACCTTTGTACCATCTCGTCACTGATGCTGGCCCTACTTTTTATTCACTGGCAGTTGACCCCCATTTCATGTCTACCGGCCATCCTAACTTTATCTTGGTGAAGTGCTACTCTAAGTCATCTGTCGGTTCATTCCTGACCCACAGGAACTCCTTATATACATACAGTGAACACTAATTCTTATTTACAATCCTTCTTCCTAGATGTACTACAGCACATATTTTTAAAAGAAATTATTTATCTTGTGTGTATGAATGTCTGCATATATGTCTGCACTGTATGTATGCAATGCCTGTTGAGTTCAGAAGAATCCTCTGGAACTGAAGTTTCAGGCAGTCATGAGCTGCCATCTAAGTGCTGAGCAATGAACCCAGGTCCTCCTCAAGGGCAACAAGTGTTCTCAACCAAAGACAGCTCTCCAGCCTCATGGGCACACATTCTCAACAAGCTGACTGCTATAAATTTGTGGGTACTTATCAATTCTGGAAATTCTAGGCAACTGGACTTCAATCCACACTCATTTTGTGGGTCTACTAATACTGATGAGCGCTGGGCTGTTTACAGCTTTGTTGCCATGGAAAATGTTTATTCTGTGGGTCACGGTGTCTCTCACCACTCCTGATATCACATTCTGTGTGTCCACAGTACACGCTGGGCTTCCTACCATCGGCTCTAACTTGTCTGCAGTTGTCTCTCACGAGTTACTGAACTCTTCAGTCCTCAGCAGGACTGTCGGGTTGTTTCAGTAAGACATTCCAGCTGCTTTGTGTTTCGGTGTTACTTACTCAACTGTTTGCTTCCTTGCAATTTCAATAGTAGATATAAAGTTGGAATTTAAAAAAATAGGCTTCTCAGGGGACAATCATTTGCCTCTGCCAGGGCCCTGAGCACAAAGGAACTGTACATTCACTCCTCAGCCGAGTTTCTCGGGGACACAGGTGTTTGACTTCAAATGCACAAGACATGGCTTGTGACCCCAAACTCCCTTCAATAAACTTTTTTTGTTTGTTTGTTTTTTGTTTTTCGAGACAGGGTTTCTCTGTAGCTTTGGAGCCTGTCCTGGAACTCCCTTTGTAGACCAGGCTGGCCTCGAACTCACAGAGATCCGCCTGCCTCTGCCTCCCAAGTGCTGGGATTAAAGGCGTGCGCCACTACCGCCCGGCTCAACAAACTTTTCTTGCTCTCCCTCAACGCTGGTTAATATCGGGCCATTTATTTGCAGTGCCCCACACAAGAGCAGGGAGAAGAGGTGGGAAGAAATGGGGGTATTCTGAGATAGCCTGAATGCTGCAAGTGCAGTTCTTGGAACTGCCCCCCAGAATTAGCCCGAGCACTCCCAGACAGCATGGGGTGTCTTCGGTACCCCATGCTGGTGAGCGGGGGAACCAGCAAGGAAACTAAATTCAGCAAAAGTTCTTAGAGAATGAATTCTCTGGATTCCAGGTTACTGAATGTGTTTTGGGTTCACTCTTTGTTCTCAGGAAAGCACTCAAGATTTCCTTGAAAATATTTAGTGAAATATTTTCTTAATTTCTGATACAGACAAATGCTGCATCTTACCTGATACAGATAAATGCTTAAATACTTATAGAGGAATTCCTGGGACTTGCTTTAAAATAACACAAAGGAAGTTCATGGAGGAACGAGGCTTACCATGATTTGGTGGATTTTGAAGTTAGATGCAGGAATTGATGTTTTTATAAAATTTTCCAAAACAGACAAAGCATTTATTTTACATGAAAATTTTAAAAAGAACAAGGAAAAATACAAAAAAAATTAAAAACCAGAATTTCCTTGTTATCAACGATTAGGTTAATGCAGATTCCCAACCTTCCATGCTCCTAAGACCTCACTCTCAGAAATGAACAGGTGTCTTCTTCCTTCTCCTTACTGCCTCCTACACTGCACCAAACTCCTCTTTCCTTTCCTTTCCTTTCCTTTCCTTTCCTCCTATTCGGTTGGTCTCTCTCTCTCTGACAGGGTCTCACTATGAAGCTTTGGCTATCCTTGGAATTCACTACACAGATCCACGTGCCTCTGCCTCCCTAGTCACATTTCTTACAGTTTCTCAAGCAGCAACAGAAAGGCAAGCTTCTTTTTTCAGGAGCAGTTAAATCACCATCTTCACATTGTGAATTATCGATTCTCTCCCTGTTAATTATATTATCTTTGAATTGAATCCAAGCAGCTATATGTGTAATCACACCAAACTAGTATAGTTCAAAGTCTTTAAAACAAAACAAGCTTTATTCATAGATATTGATTGGATAAGACTATTATCAAGAAAACAATATGAGCAATGTGTTCATTGAAAAGACAATTCAATTAGGAACTGGAGAAATGGCTTGGCCATTGAGAGTATGCACTTCTCTTCGAGGACCCAGTTTCAGTTTCTAGCACTCATGTCCGGTAACTAACAACTGCCTGTAACTCAGCTCCAGGGGACCCAACACCTCTAACTTCACTTCACAGACACCTGCAGTTACATGAACATGTCCGTACACATAAAAAATTAAATATTATAATATAGCCTAAAAGATAGCTATAATTATAAAATCTGAACAAATAACCCCCCAAAGTGAGTATGTGTATATCATTTACAAGCATAAACACCGGCTAAACTTTTATCTGGGAAGAAGGGAGGAGAAGCAGAGGAAGAGGAAGAAAAAAAGCAACATTAAATCACTCTTTACCCAGTCTGTAGTAAAAGGAGCTCCATTTGCCATCAAAATACGAACTTCATCATCTTGACCTGCTCGTGCCGCTTCTAACAGCTTCTTCCCCAAATCTACCAGGGACATCTGGATGAAACACATGAACTGACATCAGCATCTCCATTATATACTGTGAAATGACTCCCCCTCATTCCTAATTCTCAGTTATCCCTTCAAATGTGCTATGGCTAATCTAAAACTAAAGATCACACAAAATAATTTATATTTTAATTCTTAAAATACATCTCTTTTCTCACTAAGTTTTTACCTGAGTAGAACTGGTTTAAATTCTTCACATATGGCCAGTAAATGACAGACGATGTAAAGCAGCAGGCACAGTGAGCCTAAGAATTAAAAGTGGCGTCTAATTTTTTTGGAGCCTGATGACTCCATACAGCTAAAGTATGAGCTATTGTCTCCCTACCCTTTTCTAAAACAGTGAGTGTGCTCAAATTCTAAAACGCAGGCCTTCTGATCGGGAAACACAGTGCACACCTATGTCTTCATACTCTACACATGTACTAAAAAGAAGTTGGGCGGTGGCGGCGCATGCTTTAATCCAGCACTCGGGAAGCAGAGGCAGGTGGATCTCTGTGAGTTTGAGACCAGCCTGGTCTACAAGAGCTAATTCCAGGACAGGCTCCAAAGCTACAGAGAAACCCTGCCTCAAAAACAAAAACAACAAAAAAGTACTAAAAAGGGAGTTGGATGGTCTTCTGGGGAGGACATGTGTCTCACAATAAATCTACAGAGATTTTATCTTGAATTCAAAAATTCTCTAAAGACTAATGTCCCAGTCAAGGGAGGGAGAAGGAGGAGGAGGCAGGGAAGATAAACAGACAGATGTGTCAGAAAAGGCCAAGACAGGAATCCATAGGTGAACAAAGACATGAACTGGTCAGAGGAGTTCATATTCTAGAGCCGGTCATTCTGAGGAGTGACCAGAAGCTTATTCTTTGATACTGTAGAATACGCTCTGGAAAGAGAAGTGAGAAAACTGTAGTTCTCTGAGGCAAATCTTTTGAGATTTAGTAAGAAAAAGATGTGGCTGGGATTCAAATTTGTCTACAACAGAATACACTCACGAGGTAAAACGTCATAAATGAGAAATGAACCACAGGGCAGGAGTGACTTATGCCAACAGCCACCGCTCAGGAAGAACACATGTGACAGTGACAGAGCTTGGAATGGTATTTCTTCCAGGAAGGGATAAAATATGCTATATACTCAGAAGAAACACTAGGAGGTACAAAAGAGGTAGCTACAAGAAAATCTAAGTTCTGGAAAGAACTATGCCCAATTATTCTATATTTTAGTAGATCCTGTAATGTAAGAGCATTCATGCCAAACCCAGGAATAACCACAGAAAACCTTGAACACTAGGTGGTGTGCACAGATGAGATTTCTTAGTTGTTTTTTGTGCAACAATAAAAGAATTCATAACCTATTCTGTGGTAAAGAATGAGAAAGCTGACATATGCAGTTGTCAGCTTCTAGTTTTGACCTTCTAGTTTTCTTTCCCTTCCCCCCTCCCATTTTTCTCAGTAACCCAAGGTCTTTAATCCCTGCAAACACACAGAACGTCTTATCTCTGACAGAGGTCTTTCCCTCAGAGACCACGCAGAAGCTTAACAGTAAACATCACCATCACACTCAAAAGGCAGTGGAAACTTAAGCAGTGCTATTAAAGACAACATAATCTTTTTTTTGTTTTGTTTTTTTTGTTTTTTTTTTTGTTTTTCGAGACAGGGTTTCTCCGTAGCTTTTGGTTCCTGTCCTGGAACTAGCTCTTGTAGACCAGGCTGGCCTCGAAATCACAGAGATCCACCTGCCTCTGCCTCCCGAGTGCTGGGATTAAAGGCGTGCGCCACCACCGCCCGGCTTGACAACATAATCTTTAAAAGAGAAAGGAAAAGTTGATCCCTTTCCTATAGATGTATAGCAAACTCCAAACTATTGAACACAGTATCTATACTATAGATAAGCCAAATTTCACTTAAATCTGTCTCTAAAATAAAAACTATCTTTCAAATAAACATTGTTAACGTTGCATACAATGTAAACCCTTTACAGTGTTTATACAGCCAGGTATGTATTTGGCAAACAGTGCCAGACAGAGACACATCTGGAGCACATCTACAACATGCTACACGAGATTTTTCTCATTCTGAAATTAGTCTGTCTGCTCTTTTCATCTTGATTTGTATACATTCTGGATAGCAGGCCCTTTGTCAAATATAAAATTATCAATAACTCCTTTTCAAATCCTGACTTCTTTACCCTCTATTCTATTTTCTTTGATATCGCATACTATCTTCTATGCATAAGTAACTTAAGTTTTATATAAAAAATGTGATACTTCTACATATTCAAAAATAAAAAGTCAGTCTTGGTGACACATATCCCTGTCTATAACCCAGCACTCAATGAAGTGGAGGCAGGAGAATCTTGAGTTTGAAGACATTTATTAGTATATTTATAATATGTTCATACCTGTACTACATAGCAAGACCTTGGCTCAGCAAGCAAAAACACGCAAGCAAAGAAAAAATAAAATCATTAACAGAAGATGTATGCTTAGCACCAAAGATAACTAGCGTATGCTAACTTTTAATTATGTAAGAGGTCTAACTCAACAAGTCAGGGTAGAAGCACCTGGAGCACTCACGGTTCACTGACCTGCAGACTCTGGACTCTGTCCAAGGTCCAGTCTAGCCTTTACCAAGATGTCGGTTCTGGTATGGGGGATTCTGAAACCTCAGACTAATAGAATTCTCTTTTAGTCGGTATTGTCCTCCTTAATTTCAACTCATCTAAAAAATCCTTTAGAGCCAAGAGATAGTGGCATACGCCTTCAATCCTAGCACTCAGGAGGTAGAGGCAGGTTGATCTCTGAGTCAAGGCCAGGCTGGTCTACAGATGGTGTTTCAGGGCAGTCAGGGAAAAGCCATCTCCGAAAAAACAAACAAACAAAAGTTAAATGCTTTATAGTCTGGGCTGGAATCAAAATATTCTGATTTTTAAAAAGATGGCAATGTAAAGGCCCAAATGGCACACAGTGTTTGAAAGCAACTTGTAAACACTTTGCACATCTGAGATTTGCAGTCTTTACAGGTGTCTACACATATCCACTTTCAGAATAGTTTTTGCAAATTGTAAACAGACAAAAAAGGGTGAAAGTTTTTAATAAAAGAAATTGCATTTATAAATGACCTATATTAGAATATAAGAAATCTCCAGTTATAGACAATTACCCATGTTGTATAACAGACATCTTCCATTTTGGTTGCTAACAAAAGACTACACAATGCAAAAAGAAAAAAAGTCTGACTCAAAATTAAATGAGGGAGGAAGCATAAACAAGAATCCAACAAAGCAGTAAAAGAACATGATGCACATGTATTCTGAAGAAGAAAAGACGTGTTGGCTGTTACTGACAGAAGCAAAATCATTTTATTTATTTATTTATTGGTTTGTTTATTTATTTATTGGTTTTTCAAGACAGGGTTTCTCTGTAGCTTTGGTTCCTGTCCTGCACTAGCTCTAGTAGACCAGGCTGGCCTCAAACTCACAGAGATTCGCCTGTCTCTGCCTCCCGAGTGCTGGGATTAAAGGCCTGCACCACCACCGCCTGGCGTAAAATAATTTTAAAGTAATTAAAATGTGATTTAACTTACAGTTTCATGTACTGTTCTATAGTATACGCGAACAGCAGTTAAAAGTAGACCATCTTTAACTTTATTTAACAAATTTATTAAAATATTTAAGACTGTCACTGGGCGGTGGTGGCACCACCAGTACTTGGGAGGCAGAAGTAGGGAGATCTCTGTGAGTTCAAGGTCAGCCTGGTCTACAAGAGCTAGTTCCCGGACAGCTAGGGCTGTTACATAGAGAAACCCTGTCTCAAAAAACAAAACAAGCCTTTAATCCCAGCACTCGGGAGGCAGAGGCAGGCGGATCTCTGTGAGTTCGAGACCAGCCTGGTTTACAAGAGCTAGTTCCAGGACAGGCTCCAAAACCACAGAGAAACCCTGTCTCGAAAAACCAAAAAAAAAAAAAAACAAAACAAAATAAAAATGTCAAAAACCCACTGATTAAATTATTACCTCTCAATAATCCTATTCTAAAGGGAAAATATAGACAAATCACATTTGAAACCATCTAAAGGCAGAAAGTAGTTCAGTTAGAGAAACCACAGGATGCAAATGTTTGAAGCTATGTAACACAGAGTTATGTGATGCTAAGCCAACAAACACAGTTTGCATATTAAAACATGTGCATAAAGAATAAAATAAAATAACAGGTGTGGTGATATTCAGGTGTAATCTGACTGAAGTAGATAAAAGGTCATAAATTCAAGGTCAGCTGGCCGACACAACGTGTCTTGGAATATACATGTATCATACTTTTGGATCACCTGTTTATAACACATGATATGTAGTATATGTGAATATTAGCTCTAAAAGTGATCCAATAGTATGATTATGGGGGAATTTCCCATTTTACAGTTTCTGTAATGTTACTATTCTGCCTACTTAATTTTAAGACAAAAATTTAAAGGAACAAGTTTCATTGCGCAGCTGTTCACTAAGTAAAAGTCACACTGAAGTCTGACGTGCCTGCCTCACTAAACAGGAGTGGAAAAACTAACGGATGCTGAAGAGCAGAATTGATGATCTGCACTACACTACAGATGAGCATTTGAATAAATGTGCTCCTATAACTTCCATGCTTCAGTTACTCAGAACCTGCAGAGTTGATGATCTACACTACACTACAGGTGAGCATTTGAATAAATGTGCTCCTATAACTTCCATGTTTCAGTTACTCAGAACCTGCAGGGTTGATGATCTACACTACACTACAGGTGAGCATTTGAATAAATGTGCTCCTATAACTTCCATGTTTCAGTTACTCAGAACCTGCAGGGTTGATGATCTACACTACACTACAGGTAAGCATATAATAAATATCCGCCCATAACTTCCCCAAGTTTCAGCTATTCAGAACCTATCATGTTTATGATCCTGGGTACTGAAACTCTTGTGTTTTGTTTTGTTTTGTTTTTTAACCCACAAACAGATTCA